ACCGTGCCGGTTATAGCTTTAGTACTGCATCAGTTCACAGCCCATTACCTCAGTTGTCGTGTCCATTTTGCTGCTCACAGAAGAGACGGACGCCCGTACAAGTTGATTTGTGAGCAACGACTTGCCTACATTTGGAGCACCAATGACAGCAACATCAAGCCCACGCTGAAATCGGAAGAATGCTGGTATTTGCAGCAATAAAAAGCTATGACGATCATGGGGCCCTATGCTGAATGTTGGGGTGGGGACGGGGATGGGTACCCACTGGGCAACGGCCGCACCTTTGATTTTGCAGCTTTGTTTCCATTCTTTCATCGCTGCTTTTGGTGTAAAGAAAGGTATTTACGTGCGAATATACAATCAGAAACAGTAAAAGGATGGAAACAAAGCTGCAAAATCAAAGGTGCGACCGTTGCCCAGTGGGTCCTGCGACGAACCTCCCCAACGTTCACCCATCCCCGTCCCCTACCCAACATTCAGCATACGGCCCATGGTTCCATCCAGTAAGGGGAGGAGGCATTTGGTGCGATAATAATGTCAAGTAATCCAATTTTCGCAGGGAAGGAAAAGGTGGGGTGGGTGTAAAAGCGAAAGCGAAGTGCTTCACTCCCCTCTCCTGCAGAAATTGGAAGTCCTGTAAATGGCAGGAATTCCGCACCACATCCCTCCTCCTCATTGTTTGATACCCGGCGAACAGAATAAAACCGATGAAATATTTAAAATATTGAAACCGACCGTTGTAGACGAGTGACATCGCATACCAATAGTGTGTACTACAGTGCTTCCAAGGCTGTAAGTGAGCCGGAAGAGACTTGTTATCTCTCGCCTCATCTGAAAATGTCATAGTGAATATGGCTGAAAAAATCGAATCAAGAGCTTGCGATCTAATTCAGAGAAAGTTTCGGCAACAGACAGAAGAGCGTTTTTTCTGCTTCCCGTAGGTTTTCAACAAGATGCCAGAACCGTCGGAGCGGAGGAGTTCGACTGGTAGCATGCATTTTCAAGTTCGAGTCACATTAGAGCCTTTGAAAATGACTGCACGGCCGAAAAGTTGGCCCGACCACATCGGTTTTCCGTAGAACCATATTCACGCCGTGTGACTGCGTACTTTAGGCCATTACCGTATCCCATGCCCAGATTTGTTCGTTCCGAATACGGCGAGAACAGCTTACAATTAGTTGGGGATTATATCATATCGACTTCCGTGCCACTGTTAGCACGATTTTCTTTACTGTACGTTTGTGGGGAGCGTCTAAAGTGACATATAGTGGGATACAATTCATCCCCGAACGGTCATAGGACCTGTCACTTTCTCGTCAGAGTGTGCTTGCAATACTTTTGGAAGTTTCACTTCTTCCCTCTCAAAAAAGTTTCATACTTAGAGCTGAGAGAGCTCGATCCCAACGTCGTTGAGGAGCAGACGCTGTCGCGCGCGCGATACGACGCGCTTCTTGAAGTAGAACCAGAGATCCGTAAGTCACGGTGCCGGGGGGCATGGGGGTGGGCAGTTCATTAGAGCTGTGCGGCTTAGGCTTACTAATAGGCTTGCTGCGAGCGCTTGACAGAGAAGACTTTTGAAAAATTAGATAACTGAGACGGTCTTCTCGCTCCTTCCAACGAGCATGTAAGAGATGTCCTGATCTGAGGTGACCCGCCTGACGAGGAGAACTGATGTACTTACACCTGGGGAATGGCAAGCAGTTCTGAGGGTGGGGAATGAGGTCATGCATCTGACATGAGTAGAAAGCTGAAGTGTGCGAGAACACATACATGGCGCACGCCTCAACGGCGGCTGTCCCTCCTGCCGCGCTGTCGCGTACGGTGGGCAAGCCCTCCCAGTACCTCAGCAGCTCGCCAAGGCTTCCCATCGTGTAGCTACGCCTCTCCTGCGCACCTCACAGGAGGTGCGGACCATTCCCCCGGGGACTAAGGGGACTTCCAGCCGGCCGCACACGCGGAACTACACTGGCTGGGCACAACGCGTCCTGACCCATAACCTTAGTACAAATGCCCACGGCTACACGTACAGAGTTAGGGTAAAACCACAACATTATACAAACACAACACATATATTTACTAATACGTTTATTATATACGTAGTATTATATACGTAGTAT